TCGGATAATTTTTGTGTTGGGGAACAATGAAATAAAGTCAAATAAATAAAATCCGAGTCCTTTGGACCAGTTTCATCAGATGCATGTGCTTGGTTTGGATGTTTCGAACAAAACAAAAAAAAAAAAAACCAATTATTATTAGGTTAAAACCTCATTTTGGTCCTTAAACTATTGTATGGACCTCAATTTGGTCCCTAAACTAAAAAAATCACTGATTTGATCCTTACTGTTTACTATATTTACCCCGATTTGGTCCTTTCGTTAAATATCTGCCTATGTGTCTCGTTACTTGATAGGAAAAGGATGACATGTAAAAGCATTTTGACACCTAGGATGTATAGTATGGCAAAAAAATGAGATAGGCAAGAAAAAACCTTAAAATTTTTCTTTTTCCTTTTTTTTTTTTTTTTATTCCTTTGTTTTTCCTTTTTTCCTTTCTTCTTCCTCTCCCTTTCCTTTCACCTTCTGCAAACCCTAACACCTCCTAATATTAAATTCGAGGATAATACAACAAATCAACAGATTGAACTCAATAGATCATTTGACCCAACAGCTCGAAATAGAACCCAACGCTTACTAGGTTTGATCACCTTCTAGGTTCGAAATCAAACCCAGCACTTGTAATAATCCAAGAATAACACAACAGACAATAGATTGATAACTAAATCGAACTCAACAGATCCATCGACCTAATGGCTGTTGGGTTTGAAACGGAACCTAGCACCTACAGGAACATAACGGCTACTCAAACTTAGTAGCTGCTAGGTTCCACCGACCTAGCACCTACGGGAACCTAACGCCTACTGGGTTTGAAACAGAACCCAGTGCCTGCTGTGTTTGATTTCCAACCTAGCACTTGCAGGAACCTAGTGGTTGCCTTGCCTTGCCTTCTTCATCTTCATCAATCAATTTTTCATTATCATCAAACAACCAAAACCCAAAAAAAAAAAAAACAAAACAAAAACAAAAGCAAAAATTTTTGTTAATTGTTTGCCCTAACCCAGGATCTAGGTTTGATGGAACTCGTGCTTGGGTTCCTAGCCACGGGGTTCGAAGGAACCCAGGCGTGCTAGGTTCCAAGAAGAAAGAGAAAGGGAAGGGGAAAAA